TGTGTTTGCTCCAGCTGAGAATGAACAATGGACCTGCACGCAAGGCTGGGAAGTAGAACGCCGAATGGGGAAGGATTTGAATAGTTACCAACAATGGAAAACAAAGGGTTAAAATGAAACCCTTCCTGTAGCCTAACCCTGAGGACTCGCTGCTGAGAACGCTCCTATGAAAGTGTCTAGCAGAGAGGTCACTGTGGGCGTAGCACTGAGCTGGTGAGTGACCTACCCATGGCTGGAGCTCATCACTTAAGGATGATCTCCCCTCCCACATGACCACCTCCCTGTGATCATAGAGACCAATCAAATGAGAGCAAATTAGCATAGAGGCAAAACTTGGATGCTCCTCACTCAGGAGGCTCAATATAAGGGGCAGGTGCTGTGGGGGCTTCTCAGTGACTCTGGCTGTTTTTCTCCCAAGGGCCTGAAATCCCCTCACCATGCTCTGGGCTCCCCTCATCATCCTGCTGGGGACGTGGTGCACAGGTGAGAACACAGGGAATGGGTTAAATATATATTAAAGTTACTGCTGAAGCCAATTCAGAAACTTTGTCACTAGGGGCTGGGGACAGACAGGAAGGGTTTGACAGGGTTCTACCATATTTTCCAGGTTCCAGCTCGCAGACTGTGCTGACTCAGCCGCCCTCAGTGTCAGTGTCCCCAGGAAACACCGTGAAACTCTCCTGCACCATGAGCAGTGGGACCAGCATCAGTGACTACTCTGTGCACTGGTACCAGCAGCAACCTGGGACTTCTCCACGATACCTGCTGTATTACTATTCAGAGTCCAGCAAGGGCCAGGGCTCTGGGGTCCCTGCTCGTTTCTCTGGTTCCAAAGACACGTCCAGTAACACCGGCTATTTGACCATCTCCGGGGCCCTGGCAGAGGATGAGGCTGATTATTACTGTGCTGCGTGGAAGGGTGGGAGTGATCCTCACAGTGACACAGACAGAAGTGGAAGTGAGACAAAAACCTGCCACCCGTCCCCTCCTGAGTACAATGAGGAGATCAGAATCTCATCTTTCTTTAAAACAAAAACCCTAACCCTTATGACTGTGAAGAAAAACTTGGAAATGCGATTTGAATGTAACCAGCGGCTGCCTGAATGTGCAGAGAGCCTGAAACAATAGCGACAGGAAAGTGTGATTTGCCTTATTTACCTCAACTGTGAAACGTGCAGCTCAGGGGTCTCCTAACAACACCACCCTGGCTGTTTGAGGGGCTCTTTACTGATGCTGTTTCATCATAGCTCTGCTGGGGATGTGTCAGCAGACAACCCCACAAGGAGTCCCCAGCCTGCCTGGGTGAGTGCTGATGCCTCTCCCTGCTGGGCCGGAGACCTGGTGGCAGAGGAAATGGTTCCAGAGAGTGGGGAAGGCCATGCTGCACAAAATGGAGTCACTGGCAGCGCTCGCTCTTGTGCGGATGACCCCTGGCCCTGACAAGCCAAGACAGGCGTGTAGGGCCTCTGAATGTCTTCATCTGGCTCTAACAGACACAGCTCTCTACGGCCCTTGCTCTTTCCCTCCTCACACTGTCACTGCTGTGGTTTGCCGGACACCTCTGCCCTTCACCCTGCTCAATCTGTCTCTCTTTGCGGGAGGGGGAAGCAGAGCTCTTCCTTGGTGAATCCTTGCTCTGGGTGAACAGCCACTGGTCTCCCCCCTACCTCTCCTCCTGCAGGACAGGGACTGTCTCTGGGTCACCATCCCCTCAGCGTAGGCAGTGGGAGGAACAGCCCAAGTTACAGCCTCCTGTGACATCCCTAGTCAGGGCTCCAGAGATCTTGCCAGGGGCCTGCAGCAAAGAGGGGGCTGCAAGATCCTGACATTTCTGAAACAAACAAGCCCATGGGCGGGTGATGGATCAGAAAGTAAAGGAATGACAGTCCTGACTGAGAACCCCCAGGAATCTGGACGGGAGGGAGAGGGGCCACCCACTTGCCCCTTCCCCCTCCTTCCCCCCCGGCAGCTTCCACAATGGCTGCAGTTCTTCCTTCTGAGCCAGACCCACTGGGGATCAGAGTAAATACCCCAAGAACCCCAAGCATTGCCAACGGCCATCCCGATTTGAAATGTGCAGTGAGGGGACAGAGCCCTCTGGGGGCTCACACCCCAGAAGGAGGTTTTTGCTGAGAGCCCCGTTGTGCACAGACTGGAGCATGCAAAAGGTGAAAACTGCTCTCGGGGACTATTTTTATGAATCTAAATATGCTGGTTTGAAGATGCTCTGTTCCCGCAGGACTTTTGGCATTGACACAAACTAGGAGGAAACCTCATCAAGGCAATTCAAGTTGTCTGATAAAATGACTGATCTCCCCCAAAGATGGGAGGAAGTCGATGGCGTGATCAGCCTGGTCACACACACAGAAGAACGAGCTGCGAAGGAACAGCCTGTGTGTTGCAATGACTGTGAAGTGATGCTGCTCTACTGCCCTGCAGAGGAACAGGATCCTGGCGTGTGTGATGTTGACCACTAGGGGGAGCTGATCATCCACAAGCTGCAGAAGGGTGCGGAATGGGGTGTGCAGGTCACAGTGACCAGCTACCAGCTGCTGCGGTAGAGTCGCCCTTGGCCTCAGGGGCTTTTCATACCCTAACGGCTCTTAGATGTATGGTACATATGAGGTCCCCTAGGGGCCTTCAGCTCTGGGGGCCCAGCTTCTCATCCAGCCCTGTCTGCCCTCCCTGCTCCATGATCTCCAGGGCAGGGGCTCTCCCCCCAGGGCATGATGAAATCCTCAAACCCTGAGGACAGAGGGGGAGAAGCACTGGGGCTGCCTACGCCTGCAGCCCCTCCTGCTTCCTCCCTCCCCCTCAGTCACTCCGTGCTCTGCCCCAGGGACCCATGTGTAAAGGTGGTGAAGAGCTGGCCCCTGGCCACCTGCAGGCCCCACGACTCACAGTTACCAGCGGGATCCTCGCCACCTTCAAATGGTGCTGCCCTGAGTCAAAGAGCAGGTGAAAAGGAAGCAGCTGGAAGCACCATCCTAGCCCTCTACCAGCACCCCAGCACCCCACTGCTCCCTGCTCAGCGGAGCCACCTCCCCCAGCCAGCAACCCCCAAACCATGGCCCCACCCCAAATTTCACTCCTCCCAGCCCCCACCCCAGGCAGCATCTCATCGGTGGTCACCCAGAATCTAGCCATGTTTCTGGTCATGACCCAAAGAACTGTGGGATGTGACTGCAAGGGATTGTGGGTTGGGGCCATGACAAGAAACCTCAGCTGGTTTGTTGCCCGAGGTGCAGACAGTCAGAGAGTCTCTGCTCCATGACCTAAATGGTAGAGCAGGTTGTGCAGACTGGGAGCTCCTCAGCTCCAGGATTCTCTCTATTGTCTCCGTGCAAATGGAAAACAAAAGAATTCTTTCTTACCCCAGTTACAATGGGGATTTATAAAGACAAGCTCTCCCCGTGTTACCGACCTCCAAAAGGGGGTGGTGGTCATAGGTATTGGCAGCCAATCAGCAGGGAGCAGATTTCCATAAAGGGGCCGTTCTCCAGCTCTGGGGGTTTAAGAGAGAATCGGAGGGTTCCATCCACAGACCCGTTTGCCTCAGGAATCCGAGAGCGTCTGGATTCCCACCATGGCCTGGGCCCCTCTGCTCCTCACACTGTTCACTTACTGCTCAGGTGCTGCGAGGGGGAGGGTTTATTTCTGTCTCTAGTTCTAACGGGCTCTGCCTGCACAAAGCTTTAATGCCACAACAAATGGCAAAATAGGTATTTTCCACCGATGTGTTTTGTTCTCCTGTTTCAGGTTCTCTGGCCCAGTACGTGCTGACTCAGCCGCCATCAGCATCTGTCTCTCCAGGGCAAAATGCTCAACTCACCTGCTCAGGGAACAACATTGGGGGCAAGAATGTGCAGTGGTTCCAACAGAAACCTGGCAGTGCCCCCCTACAGCTTATCTATCAAAGTAGCAAGAGACCCTCCGGAATCCCCGATCGATTCTCTGGGGCCAACTCCGGTAACACAGCCATGTTAACCATCACTGGAGTCCAGGCACAGGACGAGGCTGATTATTACTGTCAGGTGTGGGACAGCAGCAGTGATCAGCCTCACAGTGACACAGTCAGATGGGGAAGTGAGACACAAACCCCCTCTTTAACAAAGGCCACATTTAACATTCTTTCTTGTGACAGTGGGAGAGGCTCTCATTTCAGAGGTGGGGAAGGGGCTTTCATATATAATCACCCTAGAAACTGTTCAAGGCAGAGATTCTGTTAATGAGCGCGGAGACTGACAGAATTCACAGCCACTTCTACATGCAGTGTTGTTGTAGCTGTGTTAGTCCCAGGATATTAAAGAGACAAGGTGGGTGAGGTAACGTCTTTTAATGGACCAACTTCTCTCCGTGAGGGAGAGACAAGTTTCCATGCTGCACAGAGCTCTTCCTCAGTCAATAGCTGTGTGTAGCTTGAAAGCTTGTCTCTCACCAACAGAAGCTGGTCCAATAAAAGATGTTACCTCGCTCACCCAGCCACTTCTACAGTCTAGGGTATGTATCTCGGCTAGCACAACTCTTATGCACCTGAAATTTCATCACTGCTCTACATATTTCACACTGCCTGAATCTGCATTTCTTAGGCGAGGATCTATTGGGCACTATGGATGATCAGCATGGAACTCAGGAAGTGCTTCCATTACATGGCTGGCATCTCAGATTGTGCTGAGGACTCAGATGCCCTCACTGCCTGCGTCCCCAGGAAACACGGTGAAACCCTCCTGCACTGTGAACAGTGGGACCAGCTTCAAAGATTACAGTGAATACTGGTCCGAGTGTGAACTTGGGGGTTCTCCGTGATACCTTAGTTACCTCTCAGATGCTGAGAAAAACCAGGGTGCTGCTGGAGTCCCTGCTTCAGCCTGTGGGTACCAAGACATATCCAGTAACACTGGATCCGTAGCCTTCTCCAGGGCACTCGGTGGAGAGGATGCTGTTACTGTGCTGTGTGGTGTAGCAGTGGAAGCAAGAAAAAAATCTTCCCCCTCACTCCTGCTGCCTGTGCTCTGCTGGGAAGTACATGACCCGCAGTTTGGTTTCTGTCTGTACTCAGGGTTCAAAGTTCGCTGAATTGGGCTGGAACATCATCCCAATATTTTTCTCATGGGTAAATGTGCTGAATCTGAATGTTAATTTTGTACATTTACATTTTCTAGCCCTTCCTTAAGGTTGAGAAGAAAAACCTTGTGAATATGACTTGGTACAAAGCTGCCTAAATATGTCTGCAAGTAACAGCCTGCAAAAGCCTCCTTAAGGAGGTGTGAACTGTCCCATTCATCTCAATGGCACCTTAACTCTGAAACTGAACAAACACCAGTAAAATCAGATTCAGAGTGCAAACATTATTCAAAGATATCACTGGGCAGAGTATATATGTGGCTGTGTTGTATCTTGTAAGTTGCTTGCTATCTCCTTTATACCCTTTAGGTCTGGGCAGGATGGATAAGGTATAATAGCAGTCATGTTAGGAATGAGGATTTCTCATACTCTCCTGCTGTCTGTAGTTTTTGTACCATTTTTCCCAAGCCCCACACTAAGTGTATTAGTGAATGTAACCAGATTCCCTACAAACATTGCCATGGGTTAGATTTTGTCAGCAGCACCAGCACAACGACTGGCTTGCTGACTCCCCAGCACTGCATGGAAAATCTAAACCATCTCATATACATTTGAAACACATGCTTTAAAGCCCAGTTGTTTTTGGTCCTGGATCTCCATGGAAGTGCCTGTCTGTCTGTGCATGCTGTGGCTGCTGTGGTCAGCAGATTCACTGCTGTTGGCAGTCCGTAGCCTCGGGGCTGAGGGCTAGGTATTTTCAGGGGGGGATCTTCAATGTTGGCATTCACTGCACTTATTGGTCCTGCAGACGTTGAGTCACAGAGCAAGGCCCCTCTCTTTACTCAGACTTTACGTTTACCCCCACTTTACTCGGAGGGTGGGTGGGGCAGAGTTCAGTGTTAATAGTAGTTCTGTGGTAGCCAGTTAATTGTCTGTGGTATTAAATAGCACAGACATGTGCCCAAAGGTGGTATTTTAGGCTTATTTGATTGCAAGGAATTACATACTAGATTAATAATAAAGTGCCCCCCTAGGACCACCCAGAGGTGCTCACTCTAAATTCTCCAGGCCCCAAAGT